AAGATGCTATTTTATAATTTCGATCACTAGATGCGACAAAATTTGCATCTCTGCTGTATGTTTCATATATAGATGTTTGAATGAATTTCATATTTACATTTGTTTCTGTGATCTTAAAATATATTTGACTTGGATGTTTATATAGGATGGATTTGGATTAACACTAAATACTAAATACCTTGTTTTTATTTAATAATTTAATCCCAAGCAAAATAATAAAATCACGAATTCGCAAGTCTTAGATAATATGGGAAACTACTATTAAGGATAGAGGACAATAAAAGGAGAAGAATATTTTTCTTTTATGTTCTGTCTCCCTTCAGAACGTAGACAATCATAGCCTTCCACATCATCCTGTAACTTAATAATTTAGGTCTTCTTCTTATTTCTATCTATCCATCCATTTGCCAATTCCATTAAGTATGTCACGCGTTGTTTTTTCCTGTGCTGCTTTCCCTCTATCCATCCTGTGAGTCATATATTTTCCAAACCATCCTTCCTCATTACGTGTCCCAGAAATTTCAAGTGTCTCCTCCTGATGTTACGTACAAGTTTCCTTTTTCCATTCTCTCCCAAACTTTGACATTGCTTTCGTGTTCGGCCCATGGTATCAATATCATCCTTCTGTAGAACCACATTTCTGTTGCTTCGCGTTTCTTCATTATCTTTGGGGATATTCAGCATTCGCTGCCATACAGGAGGACAGATATTACTCATTTCCTTGTTTCCACCGAAATTTCCCTAAGGATTAAGAAGACAGAATATAACGATTGACATTGCATTTAAAGAAAGACTAAATGAAAAGTGCGATAGAAGAAACTATTAGCATAGAACTTACGGTTACTTCGAGTGATTCCCAGTGTAAAATGATGAAACCATGCCGCCAATCTAGTACTGCGTTTAAATTTATAAAGTCTAGGTACCCCAGAGGAAGAATTACCATGAAAGCATTTATGGAAAAGGAAGAGGGAAGCGACATTGAGGAGGGTGGAATGTGACTGAAAGAGAGATACCAGGTAACGACCTCTAACATTGCAGATTATTCCATGGATCAAGAATACCAAATATATAGCAGAAGTACCAAAGTAGATGTCTTAAACTAGTTTCTATATTTATATTTTTGAAAATTATTTATTAGTCAAAAGACAATCGATTATTTTCCCTAATATATTCTTCCAAGAAACAAGGGATGGCGTGTTTAAAATAGTCTTTTTTCTTCGCAACCATCACACGCACACAAATGCATACACATATATATATATGAAAGACATTCTTATGTTTAACATTCTTTTTTTTTTCATAGATACACGTATTTATGTAAATGCTCTGTTTATAATAAACAGTATTAAATAACATTGTCCGAGAAATTTTCATAGAAAATATTCGTCCTTTGACAGGATTCGAACCTGCATCCTATACGGAACCGTCATTTACGCTGACGTGCCTTAACCGACTCGGCCACAAAGGAGCGTTCGGTAAGCAAGGTCGAATTTACTGCTTATAAACTTCAATCTTCCATGAATCTCGTAAATTCATACCTGCTCATGGCGTATCAAATGTAAACAAATGACGTCATACATTAAGAATTGGACAAAGTCCGACAATTTATTAAAGGCATTTTTATGTTTAACATTCTTTTTTTTTATAGATACAAGTATTTAAGTAAATGCTCTGCATATATATATATATATATATATATATATATATATATATATATATATATATATATATAGAGAGAGAGAGAGAGAGGAGAGAGCGTATAAAAGCAACATTGTTCAAATCGTGTAATTGTCCATGCCATAAAATTTTAATATCTAAAAAATCACGATACTGTTTGATTTTCTTTTTTCCAGGTTTTCAGATGAGAGATTTATTCATCTTGATATCATTTGTCGTAAGAATCACTGAAAAAAACCCATTGAGCTATTCAGCTAGAAAGAGAACAGTTTAAAGGTTAAAATGGTTTTCTGTCAAACCCACTGTCTTCCCAAATGAGTAATGGTGAGATGAAAAATATCATTCAGGCGTTTAGTAAATTGCACCAACATTCATACTCTGGCTTCCATCTTGAAAGTCCATACAAAAACCATCAAAAGAACTTTGAATAAATTTATAAAAGTGTGAACAGTATTGAGGAAAATTGGATCAGGAGTTCACGACAGGAAGAGGGATCACATTTCAACTGAGAGCTAAGCAGATCAATCAGAAAGCATCTAACTCAATCCATAAGACGTTTGGTACGTGAGAGCGGAGTTTCATCTATGATAGTCCAAAGAGAAATGAAAAAAGACTTGAAAATGAAATCGTAAGTGAAAACTGTGAGGCATCTTTTTAATCCGAAACAGAAAGGTAGATGTTTAGAAAAGGCGAAGTTCATCTTGAATAAGTTGGAAAATTATCTTTACCTATGATTAATTAATGATTAACATGCCATTTTTGTTTATGATAGATTTCATCACGACTCTTCTGTTAAGCTTAAAGAGCAATTATAAATTCTTATTGTTCAATGTAGAGCCCAAAAGTGCTATAAAAACCTCGGAGAATCCCAGGAAGATATCTTTAAACATTTATAAGATAGAACGGTTCAAATCTTAATGTAACAAATTGGCAATATTGCTTTTACACGCTTGGAACAATTTTGCTGTTACACACGGTATGGTGTGTGTGTATGGGTGTGTGTGTGTGTGTGTGTGTGTGTGTTATAATTATTTTTTTTAAATATATGATTTCAGAACTAGGTACTAGAACAGAACTAGATATTTTAATTTAATTTAATTACTATAATTGAATGGAAGTTTTTAGCTTCTGTTTTTGAAACATGGTAATTCCGGTGTAGCGATGGATTCATATTGAAAAAAAAATAATTATAATCTAGGCTCTACTTATATATCGAGCACTATTTCTTTTTAAAAATACTATAGGACTTCGGATCATCAATCTAACGGTTCTTTCCTATTTTATTAATATATTTGCATATCTATATATATATATATATATATATATATATATATATATATGGAGAAAATAATACAACATTGAAATGGTATTCAACTACGCTGTTCGCGGCTTAAAGAAAACATCCTCAGAAATAAGAGGGACACACTCATTTAAAATTGAGGACAACGCATAGTTGAATACATTTCATATGTTTTGTTATCATCTATTCAGCGTTCATACATCGAACAATCATATATATAGGAAACGGAAACAAGTTTTTCAGTAAAATTTTATTCCACTTCTTGAAGTGGAATAAACTTATTGTAAATTTCAGAATGTAACTATTGTCCCTCAATATGACTGAAAGAAAGCGATCTGAAAACAACAATGGAAAAGGGAGGTAACAAAGTGTAAATGAAATAGCTCCAGTTTGTTCAACTTAGAAAAGTTAGCATTGCAGTCAAAATATTCTAAAATGCTGTCAATAAGAAAGGAGAAAATAAAAAAAATACTTAACATCAAATCTAATATAGCATCAAAATTTATAGTATTTTCATTTATTTCTTATGCAAATAAATGCATGATTGTCACCAATATTTCCGTAAAACTTGATATTTCCTGTAATAAATTCTTAATAAATATTATTGTTGTTATTATTTTACTTAAGTGAAAGGTAGTTCTATATTTACAATTCCATACAGCTAACCATTAAAAGAAATGTTGATCAAAACTGCTTAAACCCTTTTAGCACGTATTGCCACAAAATTATCAATGTTGAACACGCCTACCCAAACGCGTCATATGTTATCTTGTATGACGGTGAGTTCTGAACGATCTCCTCAAACATGAATTGGTGACTTGAAGCAACAGAAATTTGGTTCTACAGTAGGATGCTGAGGATAATATGGATCGAAAATCTGAACAACGTGAAGTTTCGGAGAAAATGAAAAAAAAATGGAAACTAATAATTAATATCCGGAAGAAACAGTTGAGTTTTCTAGGGCATATAATGAGGAAAGAAGACTTGGGAAATCTGATACTCACAGGACACACTGAGGGTCAGAAGGACAGAGGGAAACAACGTATAACAAATTGAGCATGTTTGAATGGATGGTGGAGGAGATCTTAGGAAATATAACAGAAATAAAAAAAAATTATTAAGAGCAACCGAAATTGCTCATATGTTAATATACGTTGCTTAGTTTCTCGAAGGCATCTTTCGCTATCTCTTTATACTGTCGGATATCTGTATCATACTTTGCTTGATTCTGATATATCTATCGCTGCTAATACCTTTGTCAGGCTCTCTCGCTGACGACTATATTTGCTTCTCACTTCATTAAAATTCCAGACCATTTTTTATTTTCTCGGAAGATATAATATTATTTCCAGCAAGCTAAAAACAACATAAATTATATTTGATAAAAGAAAAACATCGCTTTGTCGTTACAATTCTTTAAATACAGCGAAGTTGACCTCCTGACACAATATCGCTATCATAAGAGATATTATCTTATTCCCAGACGTTAATGTCAACTGTATTGAACAATTACATTTTAAAATTCCATCCCCAGAGATTAAAATAAAAACGACGAAGATCATTTCTTAGGTTGGCTTTCTAGATGGAAAATAACTATTTCTTGATTTACAACATTTACTATGATTTTTCGATACGAAAAAATAAATTAAAAATAGATATTATTTTCTTAATTTACATATACAACTTTACTGATCTAGAATGCGTTTACAAAAAGAAAATGTTGAAATAATTATTTTGTGTGAAAACATTATTGATTCGTTTTTTTTACAGTTAACACTTTGCCGGGTATTTAAATTCAGAAAATATTTTTAGATTGTAAAAGGTTTTTGGTTGGGGAGATGATATGGGTTTATTGATAAAAAGTGTTCTAATTAACCCATAGCTGGGGGAGAAGATGTGGATCCATATCTTTCCCAAATGTATTTGTATGTAAGTGAATATAACAGATCTAACAAGAACTGGAACTCGGCTATCCGATTAACATTTCCAAGCCCTTATCCATTATACAAGAAGCACATCAAAGCAAACGGCACCTAGTCTTCCCAGGCGGTCACTCTTCTCAGTACTGACCAGGATAAACTTTGCTTAACTTCGGTGATCCTACGAGTACCGGTGTTTCAACGTGATCTGCTCGTAAACTGCAAACGGTATAGGAATCTTTAACGGGGAAACAGAAATGACAATAAAAATGAATCCTTTTGAAAGCTAAGTTAGCTCCTTAAAAGTCTTATAAAGTAAGATAATGTTTTAATTCTGCATCAGCTGTTTTTTGAATTAATACAATTTTCCATAAAAATAAATAAATCTCTGTTCCTAGATAATAGACATAACAAAGAAGTGGATTTTTTTTTAATTTTGTTATCTTTCCTAAACTTTGTTCTGCCAGCCATTTACACAAACTCGAGGTAAGATATGCATTGTTGTCATTTGTCCCTCTTGACTTCAATCTGTCCTGTTAGTATCAAATTTTCCAATCCCGCTTTCCTCATTATGTGCGCTAGAAATTTCAACTCTCGCTTTCTGATGTTAATTATGAAATGTTCTTTTTGTTTTCATTTTCTCTAAAACTTTGTCGTTGGTCACATATTCAGTCTATGGGATTCTCAGCACCCTTCCGTATAACCATATATCTGTTGCTTCATCTGTGAAAAGATTGCCCAACATTTACTATCATATAGAATAGATATTATATAACAGATCAGTATTCTTTTCATTTGTTTTTCATGAAATTGCCCTGTTTATTAATACTTTGCATAGCTTTTGGAAGATAATGGTAACTGAAGTTTTTTTATTGCCTCTTTCTTATCCTTTTGCCATCATTCAAGAAATAAGTGGTTTTAGTACTTCCCGCCTTCCTGTGCATAACGAAAAACTGTTCAAAAAGCCCATTTTTCGGCCATAACTCCATTGATTTCATCCGATGCTTTCCATATTTGCCATGTAAATTGAATATGGCACACAAATTGTCTTGCGCGTATGTTTGATTTAGATTATTTCAGTAAAGTGGACGAAATCTGCGACAAACTAGGTCCAAAATCGGCTTTTGCAATTTAGCCAAGAGTATCTTAATATAATTCTATCCTAAATTTGCATTTTGAACAACCTTTGATGCAAAGATTGTTTAAGAAGAATTATTGAAGCGTTAAAAGGGAAAAATTGTTGAAGAATCTCTTATTAACCCCAGGTTTACAGTAAACGTGCGGAGAAGGAGGGGGCGTTCATGTGTTTGTACTTGTAGCTGAATGAAACTCTGACGTTTCATCTCTGTTTTTGTTTGATTATTATGTTTGTGAGCAATACCATACTATTTGAAAGATATTACGGCCATAGGAAATTTACTGAATATCTAAAACTTTGAAACAATTTAAGCGTCAATGGAATTGCTTTAATGAGAACAATCAAATACTTGCAAAGACATACTGTAAAAACGACAAGGGAGTCTACCAACGGATGATGCATGCAAGCGGGGACGCAGACAGACATTTCTAGATAGAGTGTGCGGGTATAAAAAGGATTCGCTTATACAATTACAGCTATGTACACCCGGGCAACGCCGAGTACCTAAAATAGTTTCTTTTTTTTTATAAAAATAAACGAACTATAACAAAAATATATGTAAAGATGTATTTTAAATAAAAAATTGTTTTGTATTTAAGGCGGGATTTATGTTTATATTTAAAATAAACGAGGATTAATTGTATTTTGTAAAATAAACGTAACTAAGACTATATATATATATATATATATATATATATATATATATATATATATATATGCTCGACATAAGATAAGTAAAAAGAGGAAAACGAAAAAGGAAAGGTTATTATTCAATGATGATAAAAACAAAATTTCCAAGGGTTTTCAGTAGAAAAATAAATTGACATCATTACCGGGATGTATGCTAGCTCGGTAAACAATACTATCAGTCATACATTGGCTGTTTAACAAACATATCGTATTTTTTCAGTAGTTGCATTTATTTTTTAGTAAATTGATTAGTTTTGCTGATTTCTCGGGGTATATAATAGTTTGACCGATGTAGTTATTATATGATTTCGATTTGAATTTTACAATTCCTTAAGGTGACTTTGAACTCATAAATAATGTTCATGCGTTGCAATTTTGATTTTGCTGGTGTGTTGTTATTTTTAAGGTAAAGTTATCTTTTTTAAATATTTTCTATTGGATAATTAATTAGATTTTTCTCATCTCAGCAATGGAGACAGATTCTGAAGAAGAACGAAGCGTAAAACGGCCGAAATGTCGTGAATATAGTAATAAAAATGAAAACAACTGTCCGAACAATGTACATAATCTAAATGTCCCATCTCAGAGAGATCTTGAAGAAGGACGGAACTTACAACGGTTGTAACGTCGTGAATATGGTAATAAAGCTTCCGAACAATGTAAATATTGTAGATACTTAAAATGACTCATCTCAGAAATAGAGAAAGATCCAGAAGAAGGCAGAAACGTATAACGGTTGAAACGTCGTGAATATGACAATAAAAATGAGGATAACAGTTCGAACAATGTACATAGAGTAAATAGTTAAAATACCTCATCTCGGAAATAGAGACAGATTTTAAGGAAAAAGATATCATTAAAAACTCACAAGACTACTAGTTCTATTAATATTAAGGACATAACAATATATGCTCACATTTATACGTATAGATATTCGTCCTGGGTATGAAGATAAACTACATCCGGTAGCAAGTCATCTGGTCAGGATGTTTTGAGGAGTGCGAAACCATTTCTTAATTGCTGTTGTTTCCAGGTCCATCCTCACCTGGGGTGGTATCACCTGTTAGAGTCCGAGCTATGGGCACATAGCTAATCCCCAAGCTGGGTCTAAAACACTATGAAAGTATAAAAATACATTTTTATGTTAAAAATAACAGCAATACATTTTGTAGAAGAAAAATATTCCCAGCAATACATTTTTGATAAAAAGAATATTTGCAGAAATAAATTTTGGAAATTATTTAAAAAAATTATCAGCAATATATTTTTGAAAAAGAAATTCCTAATGCTCTCAAGAAAATTAAATTTCGGCATTAAATGACCCATAAGGAGTTGATATGCCGCTCAACAAACAAAAAAGAAACGTACAGCTATAGGTTTAACTACGTTAACTGAGTTGGTTTTCTATTGCTATTCAGCTATAAAACGATATCCAATGAATGACTTCATATATTCATGTTACAATTGGAAAAAAAAACGATAAAGCCACGTATGTGAATAAAATTCCCATATAATTAAGTAGTTAACAGAATCTGAAATCATTATTCAGTCCGGAATAAACTAATAATAACGCCTCTATCTGCAATGGAAGCCTTTTCTAAATCACAAGATAGATCTCCAGGTAATGAATGAAAGATTCTCAATTTAAAATGTCCCCGCTACAAACATCTTATCTTTGAATAATTCAACCTTATTAGAGGAAACGAATAATTTCTTTCGTCCTAAATAAATGCGTCTAATATTTTCCCTTCATTTTCTTAACTCGATATTTATCATCTTCATTACGAATAGATTTTGTGGCGTTGTGAATATTGTAGATAGGCGATTTCTTCTAAACTTTTTATTTTATTTTAAATGCCTTGAATTATTAAATAATGTCTGACAGGTATCACTATAGATTTGGCAAAATTATATTTCGTACAATTAATGCATAACATATGCATACATAAATATAGAATGAAATAAAAATCTATATTGATACTCTCAAAGATAATTAACGTTTGAATGACGTAATTACGTTAACTCTTATATAAAATAAATTGATAATAATACTATTGGCTGGCTACCGTTTTTGGCTCTTTGCGTCAGTTGCAGTGGCTAACTCATTAGGAATTTGGACGGGTACAGTTCCGTTTCTTTAACACCCACAGATAACGGAGGGGTTTATACTTCAATTATGGTGGGTGGATCATATCTTAATCTGTAAGATATTTTTTCATACTTAACAAAGATTTATAAATAATTATTACTTGTCGAGATGCAAATGCTTGGCGTTTGAATTAAATATATGAAATTATTAAATTTATCGAATAAATGTTTGGCACAACTCTTCAATCACTTCATTTTCCCATATATGGTCATTTTAAGCATTTATTACCAAGATACATTTTAAGTCGGGACAACAATTTTTGTGAGTGAACACATAAATTGGCTTTTAACCTTAGAACACTAACGATGGTTATATAGTACACAGCGCAAATTTTCCTATTTTTAATTACAATTTTCAGTACCTGATTTTCATAATTAAATAATATCTTTTTCAGTTCCTATTAATGTTGAATCAAAGTAAAAGTTTGAAGTGCCGGCATGTAAAATATTTCAAATAAAGATTTATATGTAATATTTTTTTGATATTTTCAAATTCAGGGATAATATACCGATGGTTAGTAGTGGTTTTAACTTTAATAGATGGTTAGTGTTCTAGGGTTAAAGTTATTATTTAGAATAGTATACAAATCCCATTACATTTCCATCAAAACATATAGACAGTTAATTACGACCAAATCACGTTGAAGCATTGGTTTTCGTAAGATCAATAAAATTCAGCAGCGTCGAGCCTGGTTGTTACATAGATGGGTGACCGCTTGGTAATTCCAGATACTGTAAACTAGGATGCGTTGGATGTGTAATGTATAATGGCTCGGAATTGGAAATCGAAGAGTACATTTCCAGTCGGGTTGTTTTATTGAGATAAATGCAAATACCCTTGGAAAATATTGGAATTGTGGGTTCAGTATACCAGGATCTTAGGACGAAAAATAAAATCCGTGTGTCGTGTCTACAAGTATAATACTAAAGTATAAACAATGCAAAGACATGATATACACAGAAAAGAAAGAAGACCAAGATAAATATGACAGTAACATTTATACAGTCAGATACATGTATTTATACAGTCAGATACATGTATTTACATATGAAAAATCAATGTTCTTTGTCGTGACCATGAAGAAATCGATAGTCCGATTGTTCGAAGTTATTTGTTGTAAGTCTGCAAAGTTTCGAAATGTTTTCGTTGCAAGTGAGAAAATCAAGTGGTATGGTACGCTAATGTGTGTGTGCTTGTGTGTTTAGAACACGCTAATGAAACGTGTGTCGCTGCTA